TCAAAACAAAAAGTTAGTCCTGTTGGAATGATACCGATGTATCATTCTTGTGTGCTCGTGCCTACATAACGGCGTTTTGTGTGTGCGTTTCCAGAGTTTGGCAGAAAATACGTGGCCATGAAGCGTGCGGGGCTGCGGAGCGTGGGGAGTGAGATTTTCTTTGCTTTGGATTGTATTCCTATTTTCAACCTCTCACAACCCCGCAGGCTGGTTTTTGTTACACCCCCTGGGGATCACAGTGCAGCAACGGAGAAACACGGGGCTAGAGAAAAAGAATGGCCTTCAGGCTGCTCAGCGGGAGCCCTGAATTCAATTCCCAGCTCTGCCAGACGCGCAGGGTGACCTCACGTACGTCAGCCAGGGCCCGATTTTCAAAGGGGCGCAGCGTCCGATTTACAGCGCCCTGGGCTCTTTTGAAAATCTGGCTGTTCATCTCTCAGTGCCCCGGTTCCCCACCTGTAAAATGGAGAGAATACTTCTCTCCCACCCTTCACTAGCTAAATAGATGAGAGAGAAACTCTTTGGGTCACAGAACGGCTCTTCCTATGAGCTTGTACAGGGCAGCTGCGCTGGGGGCTGTAGCTGTTTCTGTAGTACAAATAGCATGGAGGTGATGCTGCAGTCAGATGGGTTTGGGAGCGGAAAGGGGGCACTAACCTACTCAAACTCCTCCCACGAGCCTAAGCTAAAGAATTTGATAGGAATGAAACAAGTCGGGCTCTCTAGGCATTAAACAGGGGTCTGTGGCAGTCACTCAGGGATCCCATGGAGTTGAATAGACTGTTGTACCAGTTGCTATGCTGGGTGGGGGTGGGGCTGCTCAGAGAGGGTCTCAAGCAGTGCCTTGGGGGGGAAGTTCTGGGGGTGTCTGCACTCCCTGCTTCTGGAAGAATGGGCGGCCTGCCTGGGATAACCCACCAGGAAGTGGAGTGTGAGGTCATGGAGTAGCACAGTTGTGTGCTCCATGTGACGCCGGCAGAAGGACACAGAGCTCTATTCTAGCCCCAGCTCTGCCGTCGGCGGGGCATGTGATTCCAGGCAGGGCACATCACTTCTCTAGCCAAGAGGAACAACATCCAAGTATCTGGAGAAGACTTAAACTGAGTCAGAGGCTTAAAATAGACCACACAATCCCCTCACAGAGTACGAGGGGCTGCCCTACACACACACCCTGCTAACCCAGCGTAAAGGTATCCAC